CCAACAGCTCCTCATAGTAGTGAATATTCATTTGAGTCTTATTTAAAGCCACCTATTGCTATTTTATTCTCATTTCCCTTTCATTAGAAGACCATCATTGTTTCTATGAATGTGTTCATTCCTCTTTTATACGACAAAATGAATAAATCATGACATAAATTCACAGTGCTCTGTCAGAGGTAATGAGATACGGGAGGCTACATATTAGCATGAGAAGATAATCATCTGAGCGCCTCTGATATCTGCCTCTCTGTTGGTTTTCTGCCCAGATACAGGAGGGGCGATTGGTAAGGTGGCAGGATGCCTGCTAAAATCTAGCAGGGTTTGTAATGGAAATGCGGTTTTCCCTCAATGGTGTCTATGTTGATTCAGAGTGTGACCCCAACCAACCCTGCTAATATCAACTGTAAGGGAAACCCACTTAGAATGCATTGTTGGTCTTTTCAAAATCAACAAATGGCTAATAAATGAATATGTATCTGCAATTGTTACAACCGCCATCATGACTATTTCTGTGGTTACAAATGCAAGACTGCATATTGTCCTCATGGGAAATTTGCACTATAAAGGCTCATTTCTTAAGAGGTATTTTAGCACAACTCTCTCGCTATTACTTTTTTTACACCAAATTTAGCGAGTACACGTGCCGCTCACTGAGAAGCTATCTCACCTTGCTGTCTTGCCAGTGTTGCATTTTGCACGGAAGAGAAGAAAAAAAACCAGTGTTGCACGATGTAAAAAACAATATGTAAACAAACGTTGATGACTATTTTCATTGAGCATCATATTGTCGCACAGGAAAAGGTGCCGCGCTAAGACTGCCAAAAAAAAAACAGAACCAGAAAAGGATAATGCCAGTCGATTAAAAAACGTTTTTTGCTGAGTCATTTGACCCGGGACAGAATGTCTGTTGACTCTTTGCTGCCCCTCGTGGATGTAGCCATTGACTGCTAAACAACTGAAATTACTTATGTACATGTGCAGTGATGGTTACATTGTTTGAAATGGACATAACTCTTTTCTTTGTAGAAAAAAAACATGAGCTGAATTGGATTATGCACATAGAAATATATAATATATAATGTTATATAGCATCAAAAAAATTAAAAAAACTCAATACTGACAGTTTTTACAAATTCAATCATTAACATTACAGGTGGTCAACAAGTAGACTTCAAGCCTAATGTTCACGTTCACTCTCACTGCTATTTGCTAACACATTGAGCATAACAACTGTATATATGTGCCAATAATCAAATTTTCTTCGACAAAATGTATTGAAACAAATCAAAGAACTTTAGTGATTGAATTTGTAGAAGTATTATAAGTTCAGCAATGTTTACATGTTATTCTCAGCTGGAGTCTAATGAACTGTGTTTTTTATCAAACACCCTTTTTCTTTTGTGTGTACCAGATTAACCCCTTTGGCAGCTAAACTTTCCTGTGGTTTCGTGAAAGAAAGTCTGATCTATATGCTCATAAATCTGTCTATGTTCGTGTTAGTTGGCGAGCGCATAAAGTGAGTGCTGAAGCATACGAGTGTGATACATCAAGTCTAACGCCAGCCTGAAAGTGAGTCTGCGGAGCTTCACCTTGACATAAAGCTGTTGGAACTCATCCAGGTTGAGTCTGCCGGTGGGACAGTCCTTCAGGAATCCCTTGTACCACTGCTTCAGCTCGTGTTCATTAAACTCTGTGCTCTTCACCAGGTCCTCCATCACTTCAGGGGTCAACTTGCTGTTCTGTTTCCCCATTTTGCCTGCAATGAAAAATAAGACATGGCACAGGACACACACACACACAATGAATAATGTTAGGTATCTTTCAATGAATACAGAACACAAACTATTGTCTGTACTTGATATGAGCCCACAGTCTGGAGGGCGTTTGAAACACTAATTCATCAAGGATGAAAACAGGGTGTGGAGGTGCAAAGCGAAGCTCCACCGAAAAATGAGCTTTAAAACAAATGGAGCTTTTGGAGTTTTTGTTCGACATGAGATAATTCCTATTAGTCCTGTTCTGTTTCTTCTTCTTGGTTAATCGGTTCTGATGGTAAAACATGCATTTTTTTAGAGCAAATGAACCTTTGAAATGTTCAGTCAGAGCTTTTACATCACATTCTTTAAGAAAACATCAATGGAGCTGCATTTTTTTATCTTCATGCCAAAATAGCCTGAGGCATTGTGTAATTTAAATAGGTTTTCATCCCAGTAATTTTAATCTGAGAGGAAAAACTATTGCCATTTCTTTCTTTTTTTCAATATATTAAATTATTATTTTTCAGCCCAACCTTTTAAACCATTAGAATGCAATTTTTTCCCCAATAAAACCTTTTGTAAGCTCCTGTTGTAGCCTTCAGCTAAATACTTTCTAAACAGTGAATATCTCACTTTGAATGAACGTCTCTGAATTTCGGGAAAGGGTAATAATGACATCTTAAAGTACCTGGCCCGCTGTGACCTTTTAGAAAAAGAGCATTTTGATGCTTAATGTCCCTTAATTTCTCCACCGCAGCTGTTTGTACCCAGCTGCCTCACTGTCTCGCTGTTTGTTTCGGCACACTCGCTGCTGATGCTGCTACTTTATGGCCCTGATTAGTTCATTAACCACCCCCCTAATTAACATAATTTGCTAAAGATGGTTGGAGTTTTGGAACATTTCTGCACTTACTGTCTGCTAAGAGGTTTTATTAGACCTCTTTAGCTTGAAAAGACAGAGGGAAATGTGAGGCAGCAATAGTGTGTGTGGTGCCAATCTGTCTCTGTGCTCGCCGGGGTGCAGAGAGGAGACTCAGGCAATCATCCAAGAGGTGCTGCAGTAATATACTGAGGCCTGCCAGTCTGCAGAGCTCCATCTCTTTAAAGGGACCACTTTCTAAAGCATGCCGTTAGAGACTTGCATAGTGCTGTACATTAAGTTTTTTGTTTTTTCTTATAATTTTGATTATATATGAAATTCAAAACACTGACACCTAGAATTCACCTGAGACAGGTAGTGCACCACTTTGCAGCCCATCTTTGAAGCCAGCATCACATTATTGTTGTGTGGGATAGACCCTGCTGTTTTAAAATTCTCCCTGTGGTGCATTCAAAAACGCTCGAACATCCAACTCTGAAGCTCACTGCCAAACAGCCCCCTTGTACATTTCTAAATGAACACAGAGCTTTTCACAGTATCAAGGCTTGCTTGCTGATCATTTTTGTCACAACATAGCTCAGAGCTGTGTCCGACTGTTTCCAAAAATTGTTTTGAAAATGGTCCCATCACCACAGGTCAATAACAATTATACATCATAAAATTAATAGAATAGGGTCCTCTGTGATACATCATCTTCAGCAAACCTCTGCAGCTTGTTCATCCTGAGGTGAAATAAAGTGATTCCAATAGTTCAATGGAATGTCTGGTATGAAAAAAGTTGTGCAGGTCATCTGTGATTGGCCATTAACAGGCTGCACACATTTGGACAGCACTAGCTTTTACATTACATTAAATTACATTACATATCATTTAGCTGACACTTTAATCCAAAGCAACTTCCAATTACTATTTGTCAATCACATGGTATTTGACTCTGATTGGGACCATAATTTACAAAATTAACTTAATACTGTACTTAAGAAATACTGAAACTAGTGATTGAGATCATAAACTCCATAGGAAGTCGCCCTCTGCTTAGAGAGAATACCTGTTCCAAGCACTTCAGCATTGGCTTCACTTTCTGGAGTCTATGTCCATTTGTTTATACAGTCTATGCCTAAAATGTGCTAAATATATTTTTGGTATTTAATTTGCGTAGTTCAACATTATAGGAAAAAGGTCGGTTCACTTTCTTCCTGAAAGTAAGATGAGAAAAGTATTACTGTCGTCTGTATGGTAGATATAAAATTATAAAGTTAAATTTGGATTAGCTTTGCATAAAACTGGACATTACTGGCTCTTTCCAAAGGTCTTTATTATATACCTTTGACAAAATTAACAAAACCAAAGGTTCTCTCATATGGTTTACAAAAATGGTGAAGTATAAAACAGCAATTTGTGGTTTATTGCAATTATAACTAATGCAACTAGAGGCCAGATCATTTATTGGGCACAGATGGAGTCTTTACTGGTTGCCTGGCAAGATCACAATGATATAACAGGATTTTGGATTTTGTTAGACGTTAATCTGAAGCTAATCTATCTGGCTGTTATGTTATTAAGAATATATATATATGGGAGTGGTTGTTTGCATCTAATTCTTGGATGACTGTGTTATCTAAAATTTTACACGGTTTTCTCCTATCTGGATGTAATGCGGCAGGGAAAAGGGTTTAAACTGTTTTCTGGTGACAGGGAGCTGTGGGTCTTTTCTCATGCAGTTCCCACAGGGGCCAAATTATGTAAGAAAGTTATAAAATGGAGGTGTGGGGAAGGACTGTCTGTGTTGTTGGTATATGCAGTTGATCTAATTTGGCTGTCTACAGAGAGCCATAGCAGTTGAGAGATGACAGAGAATCTTAGTAAAAATAGAAAAAAAATAGAAAAAAATGAAAAAATTCATCACTTTGTGAAGACCTCTGAAACCTTTTTAAGCAGCTCAGACAGTCCCCGGGACACAATCTAGGAGCCATTTGTCCAAGGAAGAGAGACATACTTTGCCCTGAATGCCACATTTGGAAAATGCTTTCAACCAGGCAGAGGATGGCCCAAGTTCGCAGAGGAAGTTATGTAATGACTGATCATGCCTCTTCACTGAGTGTGAACCAAATGGGTAATACCACAAATAAATTGACTTATTGGAAATTAAATAGCTGTGGGCACAACAAATACTATATTGTACATTATATCCTAATCAATAGAGTCACTGGTACTAAAAATTGAATGTGTTCTCCCTTTAGCCGTGTTTAAAATTTCATGAAAAAGGGTTAAGTACTCTGCGTGAACTAACCAAAAAACAAACATACCAATACTTCCAATAATCCCTTTGGAACAAACTCATGCTCTTAAAAAGTCTTGTCCCCTCTGGACCAAACTAAACCCACATTGGCTAGACGTCCTCCCTACAACCGAAACCATGAAGGCCACTGACAAGGCTGACAATGTCCACCCAAATATGTCACTTCATGCAGACCTTTAATGAATCACTACGGGATAAGCTGCATGCTCCACCAGGGCGTGATCACGCTTGAATGTCATCTCGACTACTCATCATTGGTTTTCAAGACGTTTTTGATTACCTCATCAAGGACCCCCTCTTTCAGAAACCCAAACTACAAGTAAACAACAATGTCTCAGCTACTTACTAGAACTGACACTCACATCAAATACTGTGGATATCCCGCTAAGAGTTAATGGTACATAAAGTCCCAGCACTGTAACATCTCATTCACCTCTCTATTTGAAACCCTGGACTGGCAGAGCATCTTGTGAGGGCATAGTATTCGATCTGGTTGTTATGGCACAGAGAAGTCCTGCAATATTAGCTCACATAAGTATTCAGATAATAATCTTGCATCACTGAAAAAAGGAGCTTTTCAAGAGAGCATCCTCGGTGCATTCAGCTCGTTATGAAAAGGAGAAGGAGTCTGAAAATTGTTCTTATTTAGTAACTGACCCTGTCATCCTTCAACTGCAGTTTCATTGTGAAAATCAACAAAAGTTAGATTTTCAGCTACAGCTATAATCACCTAGTTGCAATGGATCAGCACAAACAGCAGCATTTCCCCCTTCAAAACAAACAAATGACTGTCTGACTCTCGTATCATTCAGAATAAATGTTTGCATTATGTGAAAATTATGATGCATAGTTCATTGAAGGGACCAAAACACTGACACGCCTTGCATAAATGCTTCTCACTGCAGCTTTATTTCTCCAGCAGTAATGGATGACAATTTCTTTTTGGTTCTTTCGGGATTTCAGTTTTGAACTGTTATACTGTTATTTGGCTCGGGGGGGAAAGATCTGTATTCATTAAAAGAGTAATCCAGTGATTTAGTCTATAATGAATATTAAATTAGAGGAATGAGATATCCTGACTTTTAGTTATCATCGGTGTCAGACCTTTGGACCACACTAATCATTTTCCATAATGCAACCCAAAACCATTAATCGATAGATCCCCTTGGGACTGAACCCCAAATTGGTCCTGAGTGCTGTCGTGTCAGAGTGCGAATGGTGTGATAGAAAAAGCTCTGCTGCGTGAATGGGTTAATGTCACATATGTACTATGAAGTGTTTTGAATGGTTGTTAAGCCTAGAAAAGGGTTATATAAGTGCAGTCCATTCACTATTGTAGTATCCAAACCAAAGCTTTAAATGGTACTGTGTGGTTGTGCATAATATTATAGTTTATATTATATTAAATAGTTTTCATATTTAATATTAAATATAAGCAATTAATTAGTCGACGTTACTGTTCCTTGCAGCACTGTACAGCTGTCACTCAGGAGGTGGAGCGGGTTGTCCACTAACCAGAGGGTTGGTGGGTTGAACCCCATCTCCTCCAGTTCACATCCTGAAATGTTCTTGGGCATGATACTGCAAATTGGCCCTGACAGCTGTGCTGTGCAGTGTGTGAGTGATGTGTGATAAAGTGCTGCACATAGATTCACTGTATGAATGTGTGGGCGAATGGTAAAACAAATACTGCAAAGTGCATTGAGTGGTCATCAAGACTAGAAAGGGCAATATAAATACAGACCATTTACCATCACTAAAAATTAAATATTAACTTGTTCAAAACATAACTTGAAACTTGAAACCACTATTTCATAACTTACATCACTAAGAAGAGATCTCCCCAAAAACACTATATATATATTCAGAGACAGATTCTAAAAGATTTGGAGTCGGGAAGGAGATCTCTGTGTTTCCCATTCATTTGTCCTGCCATCTGATAATAAACAGAAAATATGTTTGACACTGCTCAATTCAGATTTGACTAAACTGAAACTGTTTCTTGACTAAAAGCAAACAATACAGTATATTGGCGGCAACTTAACACTGTCAGGATATCTCGAATGATAACTACCCCTTCTTCTTCTGTGAAATATCCTCTCAGTACTGCAGTGAAGCTGAGGAGGCAGTGCACACAGTTGCTTCTGCTACAATATAGGCTGTCATACAAGATGGACTGAGCTTGAAGACAGCAGCTGCAGCAGGACACAGATGTGTCCCTGGAGAGATGTCAGCACAAGATGTGTGACAGCCTGGTCTTTGTGTCACTGTGGAAGCGTGTGGAAAGTGTGTGTACATGTGAGCGCTTGTGTGTGTTTCTATAAACCATGTATGTAAAGTCTAGTTGATGTGTTCATGTGTTACATTATCTACTGCATTTTCCACCAGTCATAAACACATGTGTAACATGTGGTTAAGACTGTCAGTTACATATTGCCTGTCGTTGTGTATTTGTGTGCAGTTCGCATCCCAGGAAAATGAAAATCATTAAGAATTAAGGTTAAGTGTAGCATTTCAAGGCATCCCAGCACATTGTGAGAATATTGTTGGCATATATGATGCTGCCATACATGCACGCACGCACACACACACACACACACACACACACTGCAGACAAAGCCAAACTCTAGAGGATTAATGCATTTTTGATGAGAGCTTCAACCTTCTCATGTGGTACGAAGTGTTCATTCACTTCTGATATGTTCAAAATGTTCTTACAATAGCTCACACTGCATCATAATGCAGGCGTTATTCATCACTCTGTCTGTCTCCATTCATCCAACATGCAGCAGAGCTGAATCCGGATCTGCTGCAGGTAGTATTAAACAGTAATATACAGTATCTTACCAGCAAAAACAACTTGTATAATAAGATGAAATTATTATTCTAGCTCCTTAAGACAAGCATTTATGTTTAGTGATTCATTAAGGGTGTACAAAAGGCAACCTAACACTTAAATAAATCACACTTCTTTTAATACCACCCCCTCAGCTCACTCTTTTATAAAACTTGAAGCTGCACGATCTTTAAAGTGACGCAAGTAGCAACATGGTACATTGGAGCAATTTCAAAATGTAATCTTCCAACACATTCTTAAGTACTCTTTTTAAAGACCTTCATATTGTGTCTGTATGTTGTTGATTTTGATTTGTCCATAATTATTCATCCTCATGTCAAATCATCTCCAATATCATTTTCCTGTTAAGTCATCATCTGTTCCTAGAGTTGTAATAATAGTATAGTATAGTGATAGAGGACAACGAACCAATACCCCAACATGCTGCCATCAAAGTGGGTGAAGCCTGTTGAGCTCAGATTACTTTACAAATGTTTTATTCTACAATTAACACTGAACACATTAAGATCACATAACTAACTTTATACTTGAAGTTAGGGCAAGCTAAGTAAATGTTGTAAATATTACTAAACAATACACCTGCTTTATTGTCTTTCAACTACATGACATGTGGCTGTGTTGGACCAATCATGATCGAGTGGTCACGTCTGCAGTAAAAGATTGATAATAACTATGAGATTGCAAATCCGAAGGCACATTGAATTCAACAGTGTGACTCAAGTTTTGCTAACAACTAACAAGTGGAATGACGCAAACCATGGCTTAAAATATTAGTGCAGCATCTCAAGGTCTGAAGTGGTAGAGTTGAAGAATTGCTCGACAGTTTACCATCAACCTTGCACTGTTTTATAATAAATAAATGAGGGTGAGAAATAAAAAACAAGCTTTAAGTGTTATAAGTGTGATAACTGAATAAAAGCTCTGCACTCAGCACACTCAGCAATCACCTGATCGCTCGGCAGCAGCCAAAATGTGTATGGTGAAAATCTATTCTCCAGCTTTCATTTTCAATGTATACACAAGATAAGGAGGAGAGTGCACCAAGGAGAGGAGGTATAAAGAAAATATATAAAAAGAATAAATACAAGGAAAGGGAAAATAAAACAATCATGGTGTGATTAGAGATGGATGCAGAGGCATGACACTCCTATTAGCACACAACACTGAACACACCCCACCCCCCCTGTTAGCGCTTAATTTTATGCACGACAGTGTTTTGCACCAGTTATTCACATCTACAATAAACAGACCACTGATGCACAATCAACAAATGTCAATTCTTTTCAGCTGGAGACATGAGAGGGACAGAGTCTGGGACAAGATACCCTGGGTCAGTCTGCAGCACGATGTCTCTAAACCTGAGTCATAGCCCTTTGTCTCCTGGTCCACTGGGACACTGTCACAGCCATAAGAATTATTATTAAAAAAAGAACACATAGCTGAAATTACATTTTAGGAAGGAAATGACAATACGATATATTGTCAGATGAGTAATTTTACAGTCGTGTAACAATCAGCAGACTTGCCCCTGAGCCAGGCCATAAGCTATTACATAACACTGTCCCTTTACCATCATTTGCCAACAGGGGATGACCTTGAGAGGCAGTCAGAGCCCCAGCCCAGAGAGGCACCATCAGACAGGAATGTGGCAGTTCAAGGCTTTTATTCTGGCAAATGTGGTGGATTTCTGTGTAATCAAGGGCTCCCGGTTTCTCAGGAACTGTTATGTGTGTGTGTGTGTGTGTGTGTGTGTGTGTGTAGGAGAGTTGGCACACAGAGGTGCTGATTGGGATGAGACAAATTTGCAAAAAAGCAGCCTGTCAGTAAGGATGAGGATGTTGGAAAAGAGAGACACACCTTCTTCTTGCACACACACACACACACACACACTCTCTCTGTCTCTCTCTCTCTCTCACACACACACACCCTAACCAAACTACAACAGGATACACCACACACATCACATCATGTTGTACCAAAAGCCCTCCAATGCAACGTCCAGTATAATCGACTACAGTCAAATCTGCATTGCATAAAGCAGCTGATGCTGATTGGCCTTTTTACTTTGACAACGGATGAAAATTAAATCAATCTAAGCCGTGTGTGTGCGTGCGTGTGTGCGTGCGTGTGTGTGTGTAGGCAGTGAGAGTAAGTCCAGGCAAGACAAACCACGATCTTCTTCATATCGATAAGTCTCGTGTTCGCGTGCACAACGTGCAACAAGCAGCAGGGATCGAACCCACAGCTGCAGAGGTTATATTGATAAACGGTATTTATCCTTATTGTAACCTGGATCTCATTAATATGGCCCCACACTTCTAATAATCACATTCTAAATGAGTCTTATTGAACCAGACTGCATCGTGTAAATACATCATCATCATCATGTTCAGTTTAACAAAGAATGAGTTGAGTGAAGGAGACACCGGGTTTTTGTTTCGCATGCATCCCTCTCCATTATGATCCATCCTACCTTTGCAGGGTGCGGAGGGAGCGGGGGAGAAGTCCGGTCTGATGTCTGCTCACAAAAAACCTGCGACGACTGCACACTGCTCCTGGGTCGAGCCTCTGATCGCTGCAGGGTTCTCTCGTGTGCTCGCTGTGGGTCTGAGGGGACTGAGTTTGGTTTCTAATGCGGGAGAGAGAAGTCGAGCGGAGCAGGTCCGTGCGATGCTGCGGCGGAGAACACACTGGAGCCCGAGCCCGGAGGAGGAGACACATACCGAGAGAGAGAGAGAGAGAGAGGGGGGAGAGAGCGGTGCGTCTCTACCTCTCTCTACCGCTCTCTCTCTCCCGCTCAGGTTATGGGCTAATATGGGCGAATAAAGCAAATGAAAACGACAAATGAATGACATCTCCCACACATTAACGCGGTGGAGTGATCCTGAGCTAGAAACGGTCCAAACTACTGCTCCTACCTGAGACACATTACAAACCCCGAGAGGGTTTAATTTAACGAAACCACGAGTATGTAGGTATTCTTCCGCTTTCGTCATCTGCCTCACCGGTTTTCGCGCCACAAGGAACAAACCAGCTAATGCTTGCTAAGCGGCTAAGTCAACCCGGGTTATCTGGCTGTGTTTTCCATCAGGGTTAAAGCCCAACCAACTAATTAACCTGGTGAGTAACTTAAACATTACTGCTAATAGCTGAATTGAGAATTAAACAATGTCTCTTCCTCCAAATGTCGGATAAGTAAGTGAAAGTATGATTTGGTTGCTTTTCTAGCTAAGTTAATAAGCTAGCTGACCTCGTAAGTTTCATAGTAACAAAATGCTACATTTGATTTATTATTGCATGTGTGCCATCTTTGTTGGAGTTATAAATAGTCGGTAATTCGAGGGAATGAAAACATTACTCTGAAAGAGCAGCTCATTTATATTCAGCCACTCTGCCGCTGTAGCTAGCTAACTAACGCTTTTAGCTATTACAGAATGACAGGCACTAATAAAAGCTAATGTTGACAGACAGAAAACTTCAACATGTTTTTCCTTGCTAACAGCTAAAGGAGGCTAAAGCTGGTCATAGTAATCTGGATGTCACAAATCAGATTAAGATTGTGAATTGTCATTATTTACACTCAACACAGACGGATCACTTGAGTGCAGTCACATCATTATTTTACTTGGCATATCATTCTTCTGCTTTATATTTCAATAATAGTTCCCTCAGTGTTCCTTCAGTAAATACACTCTTTTGTATTAGACCGGTTATAAACATGCCTGTGTGTGACAGCTGACAGATAATCATCACCATAGTGACCTGAAATTCTTATCTTTACCTTTTGTTAATTTACGTGAGTATGAGAAGCATGAGTGTAAGACAATAGCTGTGTCTCAATTCAGCGACCGCATCCTGCGGAGGAACGGGTCAACACAGCGACGCCGGCCGCATCCACTGCGTCAGCCAAACCAATTGCGTAATCAGCTTGACCCTCTCTTACAGCCATCGCCTAGCAAAACTTTCTTGATTAAAAACATTGAATTTAATGTGTACCGGTTGAATACTTTGAGTACATTTAAAAATAAATTCTTCTGAAGTTTTTGCCTAGCTTTTTTCCACCATTACCTCTTTGAAAAGCAGTTCATCACTGAAGCGCAATGAATCATGGGATATGTTTGGCCAGGAAGGATCCACCCAGTGGAACCTCCGTTGCTCTCGGGTGAAAGGACACATTTGTCAGCCGCTGTGATGCAATTGGTTTACAAATGCTGCTTCTGAATGATGTGGCCCCCGAATTGATATGTCTTTTTCACAGACGTTATTTTGACATGTAAGATATCCAGCAAGTTAATGATGGCTGAATTCTTTTGGTTTTTGATGTTCTGCATACTGGCTCACTGTCACACTGAACTGCTGGTACACTTAAAATAGTACAGAGTAGTTCTTGATATTATAAATAACATCAAAACATCGATGCTTTTCCAATTTTGATAAGTGAAAATGTTTGCTGTGGAAAAGGCTGTAGAATCATCGTAGCTAGCCATATATCATCAGATACTGATGCACAACAGTTCTTGACGGGGGTGTTTTAAATTAGGGAAGCATGGGAGCAGTGGCAGTTCTTCTTCATTTCTATGAATGTAACAAGCTGTTCTGCTATAGGAAATCTACTCACTGATATTATGTTTTATCTTTTACTGCAAAGGTTCTGTGAGATTACTTACACATTTTTGGGCTGGAGGTTTAGTATAAAATGAGTTATTGTAGCTTTTATACAACAAAGCATATGTCCTTTTATAGGATACCAATGTGCATGTGAATGATATTGCAGACTGATGTTTAGAACATCTGCTTTTTTTGAATCACTGGCTTGAGTCAGTGTTCTTCTAATGTGGAATAGAGTTTGTTTGTTAATGTTTGACATGTTTGCTTTTTGCTTCTATTGATCTAAGCAGTGTGTCTTTCTGATGCTCAAGTTATTTCTAGTTTTGTTTTTTTAGATATAAGAAAATGGATAAAGTCCCACATGAAGATATCAGCCTACAAACAGAGAGAGAGCTCACTTCACCAGTCTCCCCAAAAAGGCCAAGGATGGATTGTACAGTGACAAACAACCACAGTGGGGGGAGGAGGTTTGACTTTCCTCAGCTTTGGACATTTCAGAACAACATAGGCCCCCCATCATCAAAACACACCCTGCAGCAAAATGTGTTAGAAATGTGCCCAGCGGAAAGCGGGGATGTTCAAGATGAAAAACCTCACAAGCAACCACAACACACCAAATTAATTGTCACCCCTTTTACCAAGGCGACTGCAGCACACACTGACAATGTGGATACAGGATTGTCTAAAGTCAGTTTTATTACTACTGAGAGACACCTCCTACATCTGGGGAAAGATGAGCAGCCTCCACTTACTGAAACTGACAAGCTCAGCTCATACCCGCGAGATGATGCAGGTGGGGCATTAGCAGAGTCTCACACTTCAAAAGACACCAGTGCCGACACGTCCAGTCAACCTGATTGCAGATGGCTGGGGAAATCACTTGAAGACAATCCCCTCGGTGGTTGTTGCTCTCCTGCTGGAAATGACAAAGATGGGAGTCAGGTACAAAGTAATGTCAGTCAAATCCAAGTATTCACCCTTAGTTCAAGTGATGACGAGGTCAGATGTCAGTCTGATTGCACTTGTGAAAATGCTCTACATGACACAGGTTTCCGTAATACATGGAGCCAATCTGCTGAATTTAAAGCGAGCAATCAGACAGAGAACAAGCTCGAATTTAGTGAGAATATCCCTTTCAGCAAGGAAGAGGGAAGCAGTCACAGATCTCCCTGTGATTATCAAGTCGCTAAGTCATTTTCCTCAAACCCTGAAGACAACCACTCTGGGAACTTGGCCGACTTTTCAGAAAATGAGAAAATAATACCAGAAGTGCAGACTTTTAAGAAAGAATATTTTGCCATCTGCGAGAGAGAAACAAAAGTTAATAAGAATAATATATGCAAAAACTTGATCCCCTTTGTTGCTAAATGTACAGAGGGGGCTACTGTTTCTGGTGTTATGGTATTAGACAGAAATATTACGTCTGAAAATGTGAGTGTTGAAGATGATGACTTCTGTGGGCTAAAAGGCAAACATGCCGCCGGCAAGATGATAGCCAAAGCTCAGAGTGAAGCGGCTGATTACACAACAGAGACTCCAATGCCTGCAAGAATCAGCGAAGAGCTTGGTGAAGGAGATAATGATCCAGGCCCTTTTAGTGCAATTGACCCTGCAATGAGGAGTGAAACTGTCAAGGAGGCTGACGAGAAATGCCGTAACTCCGAGAGTACTGCAGCTCTAGAAAGATCTCCATCTGTAAAAGTCAGTGAGAGGGAAACACAGGAAGTTTCAGTTCACGACCAAGCCAGGCAGTTAAATCGCCAAAGCACAACACAGCAGAACAAAGATAAACAAGACTTATGTCAGACATACACAGAGCCTCAAGCAGTTTACTTCCCAGTCAACAAAACCCACGGGATGTATGGAAATGAAAGTAGCTGTCAATGGCAATCCAGTCCCAGCAGCAATCCCCACATCCCCACAACACCTCCTCCTGCCGGGGATGGAGGACATGAAAGTCATGGGTCTGTGAGATGTCATTCGAAGGAGCAGGATCAATGTGACCGTTTCACTGTTAGTCTCGACCACCTGAAGACACAACAGGTTGAATATTCACAGACTAGATCTGTCAGAATGGACGAGTCAACTGAGTTAAAAGAGGGAGTAGACATAATAAGTTTTGTCGAACAAATTAAATCTGATGAGAACTTGGAGAAGGAAATAGAGTCATTAGATGAACTTCTGCAAAACAATGAAAAACATAAAGTAAACTCAAATAAAATATCAACTGGGGATTGCATCAATGACTGGACAAAAGGAGAAGTGAGTGAATGTAATAACAGGTTAACTGTTGTTGAAGATGAAAGCACAACCGAAGAAAAGAAAAGAAACAAAGTGACGAATGTTGGTGAGGAAAATAAAACATGGCGAGAAAATTCAGAGGTGTTGGTGAAAATAGATGATGATCTGCAACAACAAAAAGATCACAAAAGAGACATGACTGAACTGTCACATGTTGAAGGGACAGAGGGCAACGTGAGTAAAAGTGACAACACGTTGAGCCAAGTTAGTCAATGTGAACAAGGAAATGAGCTCAGTTGTTTTCTAGATTTTCAAAATAGAGCTGAGATATTAATGGTTGAAAGTAAAAATGACTTTGCAGTCTTAACTTCTGCTTCAGTAAGTGATGCAGTTGTGCCATGCCAGAATGAATCAAGCCATTCTCGAAATGCTAACAACAACACCACTGCCCAAATCTGTAATGACAGATTTTCCCCAGCGCCATCTGTCTTCACTTTCTATGACCGGGTGCCTGGGGGTTTTGACACTTTCGAAAAGATCCGGCTCTCACCAGATGATGATGATGCTGATGATGATGATGATGCTGCCGGCCTGGGCAACAGCCCTCACCTCACCAGCTTGCCTAGGCAGCTGTTGAAAACATCTGAGCGACAACTTCACCACTCCATGCCAGGGGCAGAGAGTGACAAGCATGAGGAGATACCAGGAGAGGAGGAAGTGGGCAAAGAGAAGGTGGCAAAATTTCAGTGTCACAGCGACAACATGGCACATGAATGTTTAAGCAGTGACTCCACTTGTAATGAGGTCCCAAAGTTTATCTCTATGACAGATGTTATTATCCTCGGATGGCCAGAGCAACAGCTTAACTGTGACTCAGCCTGTGATTCCACTGCGCACATCCTGGATGAATTAAACCCTCAGTCAACCTCCTCCACTGTTTCCGCTGAAAGTGACGGCCCATCTGATGTGAACGTCTACCCTGAGTTTGAGATGAGAAAACAGTACAACATGGTCCTGAAAGAGTTGAACTTGTTTTTTGACATCAGTATAAATGATTTTGCAAGCGACAGCAAAGCATCGACACCAGATCACTGTAGCGACACTGCTGAAGCCATGGAGGGTGACGTTTCAAACTGCAAAGAACATCTCAGCAGCCCAGAACTACAATGCCACACGTCATTAGGTAACTACAAATAAAAAGACTCACCTTCACTGTGCAGTACAAAATGAATTAATCTAGTCACTTAATCTCATTTCTCAAAGACCATGCACCAGTATATATATATTTCTTTGACCGTTCAGATTAATGGGCTATCTAATGTCATTATATATACATACATTATTCCAGTGCGGTTGTTCAAACATTGTCTTATGTAAACAGTATATTAGAAAGTGAATTTGAGCAAATCTTGAAGTATCAGACTTTTATAAGTTTCAGAAAGTCACTGAGTGTGGCCAAATATAGGAGCAAATAACCTTCATTAAAATCACAACTTGTTTTTACACAAGCTTCAACATAACTACTGAACTATAGAGGCGTTGGTTGGCAGACCAACATGCTGCTGGCTCTGGTGTCATATTGAGCGTGGAAAAGGCTATCAATCTTCTGTTATAATGCTATACAAGACATTGGATCAGTGTATGTCCAAAACGTCAAGCTTAAACTAGTTTTTTATAAATGTCTAAATACATTTCAGGCACAAGAACCGCTCATAGAAGTCTTAAAGCCTCTGGGGTATATAATCACACCAGCTTGATCCAATTATGCAATGTGTCTTAGATGGTCATATAGCTAATGATACCAAACATTGTCAACACAAAAGATTTGTGGTATATAAAGCAGTTTTCCTGTTGTTGTTCCTGTCACATTCAGATTCACTTTAAACTTTGTGCTGAAGCATTGGTTGGTTAAATGGAGATGATTGAATCAAGGATAAAAATGTGGTTCAGGTTAACATGAAAATTAGAATGAGGAAAAGACCAAGCTGTCTTTTTTTAATTAATTGTCTTTATTGACACCATTATTATATTCAAAATCAGTGCCAGAAAAAATATCTTTTTGCATGTTTACTGTTTAGATGATGTTGAAGAAGACTCAAGCCTGGAAATGTCTGGAGGTGATCCAGTCGTGTCTTGTACCAGTGGCAGCTGTGACGGCGAGCAGGAGGTGCCCCTTGGCAGCCACACGAGCCAGGAAACATCAATGGACACTGCAGAGAAGCACAAAGGTTCAGAGGGTTTAATCTTTTCAAATCAGACAAAAAATATGAATAAATAAGCTTTTATCTTCAGGAAAAATTAAGCATAAATCAACAGAGTCTCAGAAATCTCTGTTGGTAACAAGTGTGAGATTAAAGCTAGAGCAAAGTAATGTTTTGCTCACCCAGAAACCGTCTTCAGAAGCCAAAAGTTTCAACCATTAAATGACAAGTCTGAAAAATACTAAATAAAAACATTTTAATTAGACCTAACTGTTATTCATGCCACAGTTTTTTAGTCTTGTAGCCTAACCTCTTTATATACAGTCTATGAGCCTAACACTGTTTTTCCTGAAGTTTGGGTGATGGACTTTAAAATGTCAGCTAGGTTAATTCAGTAAGGAAATACAATTACTTTTATTGATTTGTCTTTTCAAATTGACACAGGTACCTCTCATGAATGTTCAAATATTCATTTCCCTTTCTCAATAAACTGATGATAACATCGCCATGAATGCAAAAACATTGTTTAAGGGTAAACAGCATCAAACAAGACAGAATTAGGGAGTCCTTCCTGGCTGTGTCTGACTTTCCATTTTAATTTCAGAGCTAGAGGGGACGGATCAGAGGACAAAAATGTGGTCTCCGTCCTTCGTGTGTCCATCATTGTTTGAGCAACAGTTCCACAGTGAGTTTTACATTGTATTACTAGACAAAATAGCACTCAGAATTTTGTTGATAAAATCATGGGTTTGTATTTATATTTGTTTGTCAAAATTAAAAAAGCAAGGACTCTGAATCATTCAGTGTCTTTTCAAACATCTGTATTTATTGAAATGACTTGTGGGCAGTTTTACGGGCCCATTTTTACGGCAGCCATTTTGACATGCAGTTGGTAAAGCCAGAGTTGCTGCCAGGATAATATTTCATAGTATGCATAAGAACTGCCCGCAAGTCTACGGGAAAGAGAGATTGATTTCGTTTGTGTGCTTATTTTTCAATTTTTTTATTGTGGTTTAGCTGAGGGGCACCCGCAGAACTTCAACTGTTAGAAACGCACAAGAAAAACATTCACAGCACGGCTTCATAAATAACTCTCTCTATAAAAGCAGGGGAAAAAGTTGAAGTGTGTGAATTAGTTGTTTACCAAACAACTCATGGTTGCATCTTAAGTGTTTAAAACGACATTGAATATATAGCCATGCAGTAAAGTCAGAGAAGCAAACATCAGCAAACACCTTTGGCAGCATCATCAACAAATAGGCAAAAACCTTGCATACTAACTTCAATATGCAAAACCAAACAGAGGTAAGACAACAAACAATCAAAAGGCTGGATGCTTCATGTTGGGATCAAAAATCAAAGAGCAAACCGCTCTAGATTCTTCAGTTGTGAGACACAGTGGATGCAGCCAGAGAAAAAAATCTCATTCTCAAGCAAATTGTTACCCCTACACATTGTTAAAATAGAAATGAAAGACATGATTTGCTGGGAAACCAACAGTCGATAATGTGGCAACATTTTACATTCATATCATAACATTTAAAGTAAACTCATGCAAACCTGATTTCACATGACACAGCAGCACAACATCACTGTGGTATGAACCTTAAAAATGAAAATTCACTCATTATCTGCTCACCACTATCTACTCACTCGTGTGTTGTCATCCAAGTGTGCATTGTGGGGCTGCGGGCCGTGACAAACTAAACTAAATGTAGATGTAGATTAAATGTCGAGAACAGAATGAAGTTACGAATGATGCTGCTGTAAGTTACAGTACACAAGTGTCAGTGTCGTCCAGGGCTGCTTCATTAATGTGCTGCTGTTATGCTTTTTTATGTTTATATACATTTTTGTGTGCAGGACCGCCAGAGCAGCACAGACGACTGGAGCCTCTGACAACATGCACACGTCCGATCAGGGTTGGTCTTTCAAAGAGAGCCAAGACCAAACACCTGCACCATCCCCACCCCTACAATTGAGCACGGGAAATTAAATGAAGGATATGTGTGCATGAATGTTATTGAGGCTCTTAAATTCCTCCTTTGTTGCCATGTTCAAAAGCTGAGATGTTGTTTCTGATTTTCAGTATATTGTGTATGGCCTATGCATTTTAACTACAGTTTTACCTCGAGAGAGTTGTCTCCACAAAGGCTGTGTCATATGTACATATTTACTTGTATTCTCACATAAAGCTGGCTGCTTTTTTCCCTTTGATTAGCTCAGCTGCAACTGTTGAGAGAATAAGTGTCTCCAAGTTTTTCCAGCTAGAATGATGAGCAGATTTTAAACATTAACCCCAATATTTATATATCTATTATATTTATATTAATTTATTTAGATTATTTCCCTCCCTTTCAATTCTCATGGGTTTCAGCCATATGTGTTTTTATACTTCTATTTACACACTATTAATATTAATATTTACACAAGTGCAGTGTTTAAAACATTTGCCATTATATGCAGGTTTAGTATATTGGTACTCATGCATTGGATTGTAGGTGTATTGATACAATATGCTACTGGTTCCTCTGATGTGTGGGTGTATTCAGTTATTCAGTATGTTCTGTATTATTAAATGAGTTCACATGTAGTGCATGCAGTATCCTAAAGCAGTTCTGTGGGAGGTTTGCTGGAGTTTCATTTCAAAAAGCTTTTGCCCTTTGCCCTGAGAATTAAATAATATAACTGGATATAAAAGGTTTTTGTTTTTCATGTACACAATATACAGTATGTGACTATATATCCTAAGCAAGACATAGATCTTTGAATGAGCATTCGTAAGCTGTTTCTTCCCCTATTATTACGAGCAAAATTCATTGTTTGTTCAATACATAATGTACATTTTCTTTTAATCCACTCTTTTTCAACGTACTTACTGTGCAGCTAAACGCAATTTTGGCTAACACAAAAACATATTGCAATTTTAGCAATGTCCACTGCCACTACTGAAGTATAGCACAACAATAAGTATTAATGAATGTATTATAAATTAATTTCATCTTATCTTTATACTTTACTCTATTAAAAAGCTGATGTCTCATTAAAATATTTCCTGGTTTCAAATTACAACAGGGAGAGAGAGACAATGAATTGATTTGAAGAAGGGGTCAGAACTTTTTCTGTAGGCAGTGGAAGTGACATTTCAGCTTAAGTTATAACAATATGTTAAAAATTGCTGTTTGTCTACCTGCCTTTCACTGCTCCCTAAATGTGCAATGATTAGGTTTCTTTTAATCCTAAAGTCAGGCTGTGTTTTCTGGGCCACAGACGTCAGGTTGGTTATATTTTATTTATTAATGACCAAACAACTCAGGTGGTGGAATTCCTTTTTCGGTGCAGGTACAGCATGGAAGAGGCTCAGGGCAGACTGTTAAAAGTGCTTGTATATCATTATTGTTGCAGAGAGTTCTGAGTCCTTATGGCTTTCCTGAAAAAAAAGGTTTTTGGTGGCCTAGGATCTGTAGCACCTCTTCGAGGGTGATGAGTAGGATGTGAAGGGTCAGATCATTTGTTTTGTGTCCTTGTGATGGTGCATTTGTGGTGTAGTGATTGTGAACTGCATTAAATGCTACTCGCAGGTACATACACAGCTGCACAACAAATCAATAGACATTAACATGAACTTAACTGATGTTATTGTAAGAAGTGCCGTTTTTTTTGTTCATATGTAGCTGTGGCAGGACAATTGATGATAGGCCAGCAAGTCTAGATAATTAATTGGAAACATTAGATTCCCTGTCACATTTTGTTAAAACTTTGGTTTTGACTTCTCTCCTAAAACTAGCGCTCATTGTCCCCTCAGTGTATTTTATCAAAAGAATCAGACCAGTGTTTAATTCACTAGTGTTTCTTCAGGATATATATAATAATATAATAAGATTCTATTGATGTCTGATCGATTCCCTGAATCAAAATGTTTTCCACTAAATATAATAGTGTTTTGGGGAAACAGTTTGTTTCAATGACCAAGGTGCCTCAGCTGGCAGACAGGCAAGTGCAAATCAAAAAGGAACAGTGCAACGGTATAGCTTTCCAAAATAATTGGATTCAGCCGTGACACATTCAATCTGCCTTTTTAATCAGGCTGAGTCTGTGAAGGCTGCGGTATGAATTAGATTTTATTTCAGTTGATAATGGCTTCGTCAGTGATATAAATGCATCTGAACGATATTTGCCCAGTTTGTTTGCTGATTCGTTGCGTGGCTTAATCTTCACATGGTGATGTATAAGTAATCAGTGAATGGTTATGACAATTATTTTATTCCAACAAACTGCCAACTTCTTAATATATTATTCATACATCAATTTCTATTATACTAAATGTTCCTTTCATTGTTTTTAATGAGGTCAAATTTCCATTTCCTGTTGCTAAAATACCATTTCACCTATTGTTATTTCTTACAGATGACACAGGAGCCAGTAATCCTGCATTTAGTAACACCTCACTTGAAGTGCAATGAGGTGTATTACCTTTGCACTACTCTTACATAATTGTCACATTTCCAAATTAAAGCACGTTGAGGCATTGCCACATGTATTGTTATCAGAGTGGAGAATTAATTCCAGACAGTTTTACAGTTAATGAACCCGACAGTTATTAGGAAGTCTGCTCTGTTCCAAAAATGTGTTTGGCCTACATACTGTCGGGACACGTGAAAGTACTGTTAGCTGCTGCAGCTTCTAGCTGCAAAAATGTTTGAATTACATTGAATTTGTTGATTTGTTTTTGAATTTATATGTAAATATAACGTACATATACTTGAGGATGCTTACTGGCTGCTGGCTACTTTATGTAGCTTTTGAAGTCTTTTGGCATGGTATCGTATATTTAGGCATCAAGTGCATATGTATTTATGTATTTATAAAACCATTCTATAGAATTCTTTAAAATGAGGCGGCTGGACACACTTCAAGTCAATCAGAGACTATGTTTTAGAACAGCTAATGGAGTATAACTCGCTGTCGTCATCTCTCATTTCTGGCTTGAAATTGAGAAGCTCCTTTAGTCTACCTCTGTCTGAAGCCACTGTTATCACCAGGCAGTGGCAGAGTGACGTGTCCTGATAGAACAGAAACCTTGACAGCTATGGAGGGTGGGGCCTATTAAATTAAATAATGGTTTTAAAAAGCATTCTAGTTTTGCTTAACTAATTATGCTCTTGATGGAGACATACTATGACAAACAATAATGATCCACTGTTTTTGCAATCAACCAATGCTCACTGGCACAAACGAAGTCAGTAGTAAGAAGTTACTTAAAGGTTCATTGTGTAGAATTAAGTGACATCTAGTGATTCTTTTGCATGTTGCAGCTAAACACCCCTCACCTCACCCTCTCCTTCCAAACATGAAAGTGAACCTGTGGCAGCCTTATGTTCAAAAGGTGTTTAGTTTGTCCAGTCTGGGCTACTGTGAAAAACATGGCTGCCTCCATAGAGATGACCTGCTCCTGATGTAAATATAAAGTATTTTAATATAAAGACCCATTCTAAGACGAAGAAAACAACAATTCATACAATTTAGATGAAACACACTTGTGTAAACATCACAAGAATTATTTTATATTCAATAGATCCCTCACCTAAGTCTTAAACACTGAACCTTTACATTAAATGGGTGAAAGGAACATGATTGATGGATTAGATTGACTGATCTTTTTTATGGATAAGTTAAAAGGAAACTCAAACTTTTGCATAAAATATGATACTAGCTTTCTTTAAACTTCTACCCGCTGCCTCTCTGCGTAACATGAAAGAGACATTTCAGCTTTCGAAACAGTGAGCAGACTTCAAAAGCTCCAGTGGAGCCAGAAGTTACCTCTTTTTTCTTTTTGACATCTTACAATATTACTCCTCCCCCTACCTTCAAAGCTTCACAGTGTAATTTACTTTTCAAATGATCAGCTCGCAGTGTAACCCACGGTTCCAAAGTGTGAAACAATACCACAAATGAAACTTGGCAGTGATTTACATTCCTATGTTTTTAATTTCCTCTGCACCACCAAAATTAAAGGGATTATGCATGCATACATTTGTTTATCTTCATTAGCAATTGAGAGGCAGGCATTATCCCAGCATGAGCATCATGGTGAGACCTTGCACTTTGAGAACACACATACTTCTTCCTCGCTTTATGACCATACAGTAACTTGCATGGCTCCCCTGTGTAGGAAGAATCACAGAGGCCTATGGTCAGAAACCATGGTAAACTACGGGATTATTAATGAGCCTCAGCCAATATGTCCTCAATATCTTAATGTCTTTCAAGAGCAGTAATTACATGGCTTCCACTTGAATGGTTTTGGCCCAGGGTACCTGCAGCAAGAGGAAAAAAGAGTGTGACCAATGATTAACAAGGAAAAAAGTCTGTAAACATGAAAATAATGGCTTATTTTCATGTTTACAGACTTTATCTTCATCTCAATGTCGGGTTGAGGAGAGGCACGTACGTAGCTGGTATCTGTCTGTATCAAAAGGTTATTTACATCATTGGCTGTGTTTCAGTACAGCAGCTGAAACCGTTTGCACCATCATCAAAGGAGCTGTGGTATTATATATATAAGTGTCTGCAGCAATTAAACTATAACATCTCCCCAAAGCAAGGATGCCAAGCTTAAACCAACAGTTTGCACCTCACACAGAACACAGTACTGTATGTGCGCTCCCTCTCACAGACTAAGCCTGCATGTATTTGCTGCCTTTTTCAGATCAATAGCAATCACTGGGCCACAGTAGCCGAATCAGATGATCGAATTGGAGACTAAAAATACACTGGAATATCCATTGCGTCTGCACACTATACCGAGTTCACTGCTGGACTCCGAAGTCCAGCAAAGTGACCAGAGCTACACACGTTTGATTTCCCCAATGTCATATAATGGATACTTTTGTCACAAGTACGCGATACACTTAATTTTAATTCCAATGGGACATCACTGTGAAGCAGCTCTGACAGAGAGCCTGAAGCAGACAAGGACAAAAATAGAGTTCAGTCGGGTATTTCAAATTTAAAGTTGTTGAATCACACTTGATTTATCTCGCCCAAGCCTCAAGTGGACCATTTGTGAACACTTGAAATATATCCAGCCGCTGTTTCACTCCGGTCTCCCTGCACAGTAATCTCTACTTTGGTACAGAGCAGAATGAAAGGTAGTGGGCCAAGAGGAAGGACAATAAGAGGATTTCACAGTTGAGTGTTATGACACAACTTTGCGTTATTGTTTTGCTTGCTTCTGAAGAGCTGTAATTAAATTGGCGGTGACTGGACCGGAGACCTGTTTGAGCGCAACAAACAACAGCGCTGGTTGAATAAACAGGACCCTCACTGACTCATAACAGAACAGATATACTGGAGTCTGTGGAGGGGGGTGGGGGTTGGGGGGTGAGCATACACAGCTATCCTGTGGTTTTATGAAAGGTCTGCTCACAGAATGGTGGAGAACGCTGCTCTATGAATGGTTTAGATGAAGTTGTTTACACTTCACACCTCAGGGTGTAGGAGGATTTTAAGAGTTAACTGTAAACTTTTTAATCAGTGCTGTTTCCTCATCTACCTCTTATATAAAAGACATATAAAAGTGAACTGATGTTGGGGAACTTAAATGAGTCCTTGTGCGTCATCTCTGACAGATTATAAGACTCACAATATACATTTTTTTCCTAT